CTCGAAGCCTCGCTGGAAGCGCCATAGACAAACGACGATTGCCTTCCTGGACGGACGGACGTTCCGTCGGCTGGGCAGCCCAGCAGCCTCCCATTAAAGACCAAAAATCCCTTTCAATCCCCATACGCCCCAGATAGAGCTTGAGTCGAGAGGCCGTGTCGGTTGCATGCCACCAAAAACGTGTTCTATGATAGCCGCTTCACGCATGAGGTGCATGTATGGTAGTTCTGCTGCGGAAATCTTGTTTCTACAGTAAGGAGGGTATCAACAACGAGATGAAACCAACGCACCTCATAAGCGACACAAGCCCATGCTCATATAACACTTGCGCTTTAGTTTTGCGTAAGTATGTATCTCCTCGTCATTCTCTGGATCAAATAGTTCGGGTGCCTGCTACCTGATCGTCCCTCCTTTCTACGCTGCCGAGGACATCTAACTCCATGCAGGAATCTCCTTGTCCGAGATCGCGGATATTCCAGAGTCCGCGAGACGAGCTTTTCCCGCCTTGTTCACGAGAATGTTAGGCTGTTTAATAAAACAAGGATTAGGACAATATTTGGAATCAGCTTGAGAGGCGAGCGAACTCACCCCCATCAGGTCCCCATGTATAATGCCATTCTCGTGCAAGGACTCGAGCCTCTTGAGCGACATCATACGTCTGATGGTTGATAGATATTGATAGAGCCAGGAAAACAATGGGGACGTAATAGCACGACACGATTTGAAGTCTGATTCTGGCTGAAATATGCACTAATATCTCCCTCCATCCACGGAGCGACAAAGGAAATTCTGCCATTATGAGAATATACACCATAAAACGGCAGGATATCTGGGTGGCACAGCCGACTCCAAAGTATCGCTTTTGACCACATGCTGTAAATATCAATTCCTACTATTGAAAATCCTCAGATATCGTAAAATGAGCCATATCCGTGTGCTTGTATCCATACAAGGTCGGGTAGAGTTCTGATATCGCTCTGAGTCTTTGGGTCGCGACAATGAGACGCCTCTGAAAGCTACGTGGAGGGTCGACTACGAAATCTAAGAGCTGACAATGAAAAATTTTGTTATGATGTAGTAATTATCAGGAAAGACATTTGCCCGTTGGAACAGATCCAACAACTGTTGAGCATTATCTCAAACTCATCTCTGTTTCTGGTTACACTGCACCAAATGCGACCGTAGAAAAATCTTCTGACATGACAATCACAACAGCAGCAACCTGATTCGAACAAGTAGCCTCAGGACTTTCGAACATCGCAGATACTGCGGCAAACATGCATCCCGTGCGCTGCCAAACTGCGCCATACTGCTGTACTACAGCGGTAGTATAAGCAGCTTAA